CAGCTCGGGCGGGCCGGGCGCGGGAGGACGGGCTGCAGCGAGCCCGAAAAGAACAAGGGGGAGCGCAGAGGGTGGTGGGGCGCGGAGGCCGCGGGCAGGGGGTAGCACCTCGGGGGCAGCTTACCCCCTCCCTGGGCGCCCAGGTCCCTGAGCGGGTAATGGCGTGCGCCCCTGTCGTTCTCCTCGTCTCTAGGTTATCGACGCAACTTCGCTAGGCTGGGGCACCAGAGTGAAGGGCTTCATTGCCTGTTTTGCGATAGGATGCCTGTGCTCGCTCTTGGTAAGGACTTTTTGCCAGATCCCCCTGATACTTGAGTTTCAGGAACCCCAATAATTACAACCTTGCTGTATGCTCTTGCTTGATTGTTTTTCTTTTTTTTTTTTTTTTTGGTTTGTTGAGTCTCTGGAAGGATGCCTGACTCGGCTACGTTTAGGTGCACCACACTAACTCTTAACAAGAAGGCCAGCAAATGTAATTAACTTTTGCATGTGTGTGACTCCACAGTTTGGGCTGAAGTTTTCCTAAGACTCTCTTTTTGTGACGTTTCTTGGGTATATTTCTCTTGCAATTGAAAAACAATATTAATTTTTTTACACCTCTCTCTCTAAATGTTCGTTTTTAGGGTAGTTGTCTGCTGTGGGTACCAAGGAAGGGGCTGGTGCTCTTTGCAGTGTTTTATACACTGGGGAATATTGCATCTATTGGGAGGTAACAATCTTCTTGTATTATTCCTTAATAAAGATGAGATACTAAATCAGAACAATGGGTGAAGGTGCAGAAGTGATAGAGTGTGTTGCATTTGTGTGCGAAGATTTGTTTACGTAGCTCATTCTCTTGTTGCTGAATTTTAAAGAACGGCGTTTCCCCAGTAGTGCCCTGAAATGGTAAAGAAAAGTTTTCTTTTGTTTGTTGTTATTAACAATGCATTCAAGGTAGAAGTTACTCATCAGTAAAGAAGAATCAAACTCATGCTTTGAGTATTGAGGCTTTTTCATTGTGTTGGTGTCTTCCCCCCGCCCCCCCCAATAACTCTTTGCCATTGTGCCTTTGATAATGTTCCATTTGATAAGCCTCCATGGCTGTTGAGGTTCCTGAAGCACAGCCCCACTGACTTTGTGGCAGACACAACCTTCTGTGACTAAGGAAACTTAACAAGGTGTTAGAAAGCATGAGGAAGGGAACTGGAAATAATATAGTAATGAGGCAGAATAATGCATTATACGAGGTAGAAATACCACCTTAGATAAAGCTTTCACTTTGTATAATTCATGCAGTATCAATCACCAGGGCTGTAAATGAGGGCTGCAAATCTGGTAAGGGATTAGAGAATGGATCTATGCCTAAAAACAGCCCTCTACATAGAGGAATTGAGCTGGGTTACCTGGTAATCCATGCAGAGCCGCTGTGGCTGGTGTTTTTGAAGAGCAGGTTAAAAAAGCATCTGTCAAGAGTGATCTTGTTGAAGCTGACCTTGACCTGTGCTTCTAGTTTTATGGTTCTGCCCTGCTTATGTTAACTGTAACTGAACAAGT